ATATGTATATTACTTACAAACATGTATGTTTGTATGTATATACATGTGTATATGTGTATGCATGTATTTGTATATGCGTATATATGTATGTATGTATATATATATATATATATATATATATATATATAGATTTGTGAGCATTTATGTACATATGTATATGTATGTATTGTGTATATATATATGTATGTATATATATATATATATATATGTATATATATGTATATGTATATATATGTATATGTGTATATATGTATATATACATGTTTATGCGTATATGTATGTGTATACGTGTATAGCTATAGTTACATAGATAGGTATAAGTATATGTATGTTTCATACATGTACATGTACGTCGTTGTGAATATGCATGCACGTTGCATATATGTATATGCGTATATTTATATTTGTATAGTCGTACATGTATATGTGTACATATATAGGTATATATTGTTGTATCTGTATATCATATGTGTGTATATGTATATATGCATGTATATATATATATATATATATATATATATATTGTATATGTGTGTATATGTGTATGTATATATATGTATATATGCGTAGGTTTATATGAGTGTACTTAGATATTTTTGCCTATATTTTTTAATTATTTATTTAATTCTAGTCTCTACTACCTTTCCTATCTTTTATATTTGGTTTGTTGTTAAGTGTTGCTGTTTGTTAATTTTCCCCTTATTGTATAGTTACTTTACCAATCCACATATAATTACCTAGATTTACTAATTTTCATACTGTTTTTAGATCCACTGATGATGACATTAAATTGAATGTCGAAACGTTTGGAAATAAAGATTATTTTATAAATCTTTGGCTTTTCTTTGTTTGATGTATCGCCCTCAAGAACTCACTCACATATTTCTTTATATATATATATATATATATATATATATATATATATATATATATATATATACAATAGATGCTACTAAGCTTTATAAACTGTGTACAAATGGCATAGAAATGTACATGTACACATTTATATATATATATATATATATATATATATATATATATTTAAATTGCACATAAATGTATGACGATTAGTGAGCTTTATGAACTATGCACAAATAGCATAGAAACGTACATAAATGTATAACTCTCTTCATGCGCTCAAAAGTTAACTTAAAATCCCAGCAACAACAATTCAAAAAGGTCATAAATTTATATTGCAATCAAAAAAGAGAAACATATTCGAAAATAAGGAATAAAATTTATGCCTAAGATATTCTTGTAAATTAACTCTGTTTATATTCATCTTGGTGCTCAATCAAATAATGATAAGTTACATTAAATCTATGTATAGTCTCTATCTGAAAACCTTTTCTGCACATTGCGTTAATCTGCTTTTAAATGTTGATCAAAATATCATTATCATCATTATCACAAAGAAAAAGAAATCATTATGTTCTCATAACAGTAACTGGCAAAAGTTCAAGAAAGTTATATGCAAACACATTTGCCAATAAATTAAAGGACAAAACCAAAATTACTTTTATCTGAAAAGCATATCAACAGCTTACTAAAATAAATTACTATATGGGGATGTCATTTGCAAACTATTCTGCTGTTATCCGGTAAATTATTGTACAATTCATGATCTATATACTTCTCGACATCTGTTAAATGTAATATCACCAATAATAAACAGAAATAAACTGTTTAGCAAAATATACTCCATGATGTAGCCACTTATTTACAATTTCTACATTTGCTAAAACATTTAACAACTTCATTATATATTACTATAGATTATATATATATATATATTTTATTTAAAAAAACACATTCATTAAACAATCACAAAAAATATGAGCATTGCATACAGTTCAAGTATCAACTATTTGATTTGAAAAAGACAAGAGCATGATCAGAAAATAAACTTTCTCTACCATTTGCCAGTTCCTGAAAACCAACAATATGATCGTTTTTACAGTCGTTAAAGAATGCAGATGATAATGATATTTCATCAAACATCAGAATACAGTTTTTGCTATTCACATATTTTTTCTGTGCCATAGCTAAACCCAATGTTTGGAAAAGGGTCTCATTAATATCACTATACAAAGGAATTGCTGAGAGCAACTTTCTCAATGTTTGAGGAGCAGGCAAAACAAATATTTTTCTCCAAAAGTAATAACCTCTTAGAGAAATTTTATGCAGAGTTAAAGCAAGAATTTTATCATCAAGTGTAAATTTTCTTCCTTTTCGCTTCTTTGTATGTTCTCTTAGTTGACTTAATATAAAATTACGAGCCCTCTTATTTAATGTTGCTGCGAGATAAGCAAAATTGTCAGCACATTTGACACTTTCTTGTAACTTCTGCCTCAATATTTTTTTGTATATTTATCCTTCTGACTTCTTTTCTCAACACATTTGTTATATGGTATAAATTTTGTTTTTTGCATATCTGGTCTCTGCAGTGCTTATATCTTGAGTTAAGAACCTCTGCTGAAAAAAAATATCTAGAATCATTTGCTACGAACTTAATTTGTAGTATGAAAAATTTTAAATAACTCACCTTTCAGGGACGGTTTTCCATCTTCAGTTTTGCCAGAACAATACAAAAAAGTGTTATAAAAAGAATAATTTTTCAATAACATACCTTCCAGAAAGGGATTTAGTAAGACGGGTGTCTTGTATTTATAACCTTAAAATTCCTAGCATTGATACTGTTAAATGTCTCAGTTATTGAGCTACAATAAAAAATTATATCAGAAGTTCTAGTAATAGATGCGAGTATTTTGTTGTGTACATATTGATAAAACTTATTCACCTAGTTCTCGCCATCAGTGCTCAGCCCGGGCTCCAGTTATTTTACTAATCATTTTACATATTACGTCATTTTCTGCAGGAAATACACCATTTTCGCATATTTGTTCATGTTCCGCATTATTGTACACCGCGCTTTGACATGATATTTGTTATAAACTTTTAACAAACATTTGACACTTTGACACTAAAATATTATTCCGCCATATTAGATTCTAGAATATTTTCTTTAGCCCATTTTGTAGCGCTACCAGCGCTCCAAACGAGGGAGAGGGAACTAAAAACGAGATTACAGATGTTTGTTCCGAGATTACCGGCCATGGTGTACCCCATAGACCTTATACAATACATGGACTGCTAGTTGAGCGCATAAAAAGTGTCAAAAGATGTTCTATGGTATGAGGGCATACGAGGGTAATTTCGCGGCCGAGATATGTCAAATACGAACACGAGCTTTACCAAGATTAGTCGAATGCTCTCGATCGCTTTAATTTTACAGTTACTTGGGTTCACAAGATGTTTGATCGCTCGTTATTTTGCCTAAAAGAGGATAAAAATACGCGTTTTAAAATTGTTAGTAGCAGACAAAATCTAATAAGAAGTAAAATGTCTTCTAAAATGTGTTTGGTCTGTGGTAAAATGTACTTAACAAATAGAATCCACCATGAAGAACATAAAAAAGCAAACTTGATAAACATGTACGCCACTTTCATACGAAAATTGTGCTTTTTAAACACCAATAATAAATATATTACATTTAAACAAATATTTCATTATTTCTTTCTAATTTTCCATAATAGCTCTAGCCAACTGTTCTTATTTTCAGTGAATTTTATATGTTAAATATTTTTTTATTTTTTTTCTAATTTCCCTTTAACACTTTGTATAACTAAAATAAATAAATAAATAAATAAATAAATAGTTTATTACATTCATTAGTTTAGCATAAATTGTATATTATATAATATTTTCCCAACAATTTCGAAAGCACGGACTTTTATTTGACGTTTAAGCGATCGCGTTTGACATATCTCGGCCGCGAAATTACCCTCGTATGCCCTTATACCATAGAACATCTTTTGACACTTTTGTACCTGAGAAATGTATGGGGACTAGCAGTCCATGAAATTGTATAAGGTCTATGGTGTACCCCCATGGATACAACGCGTTGGTCTATGCGTGCTCGTTTACATGCGGCATGGTTCATTGATGTAAGCGGGATCAGTGCAGTGAGACTTGCAGCTAACTAATTTTTGGATTTTTTAAAAGTCGTGATTGCAATATTATTATTAACTAGCTGTAAGTGGAATTCTGTTTTGAGGCAATTATGGCATCGTGCCTTAAGACAAATTGCTGGAACTTCCCGTACCGTAACGAAATGTTCGAGGAATACTGAATGTTTTAAAATAGATTATTATAAATATTGTAACATTGTCTAATATTTATGAGAATTATATAAACTGAATTGCAGAGTTGAAATTATTTGTAAAGTATATTAGAACTATAGTCAGAATTAAAAATAAAATTTGAAATATTTTCGATATACAAAAAACTAAAAAAAAAAAAAAAAAAAAAATTTCCAAAATCAATTATTTTGTTAAGAGAAGCAGAAAGTTTTTTGAATCATTTCAATCGGACCCTTAGTTCTCTCAAAAACTGCCATTTTTTACATATTTAGCTCCGTATCTTCGAAATGGCTGGGCCTGCCTTTGCCAAAAACTAATAAGCACTTCTCCCAATCATTACTAATTGAATGTTTTTTAGATCATTCAAATCAGATACTCCGTTCTCTCAAAAATTCGATTTCTATTTTTTGCACTCTTTGCTCCGTATCTCCGAAACGGCTGGACCTGCCTTTGCCAAAAACTAATCAGCTCTTTTCCCTATTAATAGGAATCGAATGTTTTTTGAACCATTCAAATCGGTTGATCCGTGCCCCCTAAAACGTGACTGGAAATTTGTATCCATACATACATACACACACACACACATACACACACACACACATCCATTTTTTTGAGGTATGCCAAAACGTTCAGAAACCTTCAAAACGTCGAGAAATGTTAAAATTTTCAATTCCGATTTTCGGCCCATTACAATAACTTACCCTACGGGAAGTTAAAAAGGTAGTATTAAATTTATTTTAATGACATCAATATTAGTATTAGATTTATTTTAATAATTAATAATTAATCCATACCAGTATGTCGAACACGCAAACAAAAAAACGGAAAATTGTTGATGAACACAGAAATTTCCAAGAAAGATGGAAATTCGATTATTTTTTCACTATCGTTAAGGATAAGGCTGTATGCTTATTATGTTCGGAGACCGTGGCAGTATTGAAAGAATACAACATAAAAAGGCACTACAAAACAAAACATGAAGATAAATATAAAAATTTAACAGGACAGCTCCGGATAGATAAGGTGAATCAAGAGGAAAAAAACTTAAAAAAACAACATTCTATTTTTAAAAATCAAGAGATCTCATCACATACAGCTGTAAAAGCTAGTTTTGTGATCAGCCAAATACTGGCAAAAAAAATGAAACCTTTTGCGGATGGTGATATGGTAAAAGATTGTCTGACAGCTGTTGCAGAAATAGCTTTCCCTGATAAACTTAATATTATCTCAAATATTAGTTTATCCAGGTTCACAGTTGCAAAAAGAATTGATGACTTATCGGAGAATATAGCAGCAACACTTCGTGAGCGCATTGCTCAATTTGAGTATTGTTCTTTGGCGCTGGATGAAAGTTGCGACATTAGCGATACAGCCCAACTTGCAATATTCATACGTGGAGTTGACACCAATTTTAATATTACTGAAGAACTGTGTTCGCTGGTACCAATGCGAGGGGCTACAACCGGAAAAGACCTCTATGAAAAACTAAAGTCTGTCTTGGAAAATTTTTCAATTTCACTAAAAAAAATTGTCAGTGTATCAACAGATGGGGCACCAGCAATGTCCAGTATGAATGTAGCGGGAAGGCTTTTTCAAGATATTAAGGATGCCACAGGTGAAGAAATCTTCATTAACCACTGCATGATACACCAAGAAAGTTTGTGTGCAAAAAAATTAACTTTACCCCATGTCACGATCCCAGTAATAAAATTGATAAATTTTATAAAGTCACGAGGGCTGAATCACCGTGAGTTCAAAGAATTTCTCAATAATTTGGAAAGTGAATATGGTGATGTAATTTTTAATACTGAGGTACGCTGGCTGAGTAGAACTGCAATGTTGAAAAGAGTGTATGACCTTAAAACCGAAATAGAGTTGTTCGCGGAGAAGAAGGAATATGCCTTTCCTCATTTTCATGATAAAGAATGGATGTGCGACTTTGCATTTCTTATCGACATAACGCAGCATCTGAACCATCTCAATGTGGAACTTCAAGGCAAAGGACAATTTATACACAATTTTTATGACAAAATACAATGCTTTGAATGCAAATTGAAATTGTGGAGAAAACATCTGTTGCAAAATAATGTGTCTCATTTTCCTTATTTGGAAAAGGAAAATGCGAACAATACTCAAAAATATATTCAATATGTAGACATATTGATCAACGAGTTTCAATTGAGGTTCTTCAAAATGTTGAGAACTGAGAAAATAGCTATGTCAATAAAAATGTTTTCTTCCCCCTTCAACATTGATGTTGACGAAGTACAAGCGAACTGCCAAATGGAAATAATCAATTTGCAGAATAATTCCGAAATGAAAAATGTATTTTTCTCCGTGAACATCGAAAATTTCTATAAATTTCATATAAGCTCTGAGAAATTTCCGTGTCTGAAGAAAAATGCAATGAAAATGATGTCGCTATTTGGTAGTACTTATGTGTGCGAACAATTATTTTCAACTATGAAATTCGTAAAGAATGACCACCGATCAAATCTAGGTGATACTCGATTAGAAAGCTGCTTACGTGTTGCTACTTCATCGATACCGGCTGATATTGATCAGATTGTATCAAAGAAGCAGTGCCAAATTTCCCATTAGCTTTAAACTACTTCTCTTATGTTTAATCTCTTATATATACTCCTAACATACACTGATAATCATATAAAATATTTATTTTTTTAAATATGTATTGTTGTTCTTTTCTAGTCAGTTCTAGTCAGCAATAAAATTATATATGAAATAATCACTTGTTTAAATTTTGTATTTTTGTTATTAGAATTTAATTATATATGAAGTATTTACTTTTTGAAATTTTATATTTTTATTCTTTTCTTGTTGAAATAAATTTATATATAAAGTATTGGATTTTTCAAATTTATATATGAAATATTTACTTTTAAAATTTTATATTTTTATTCTTTTTTTGTTGAAATAAAATTATATATAAAATATTAAATTTATCAAATTTTGTATTTTTATTCTGGTCTTGTTGCAATAAAATTATATATGAGTTATTCACTTTTTTACTTTAGTATTTTCATCTCAGGTGAAGAAAAAGAAATTAATCAATGTATCTTGCGTTGTAAAAGACTTATTTATAATCCAGTCCTACTGACGGCATAAGAAAGATAAGATTTTGTCCTAAAACATTTTGGATGTTTTGTAATTGATGTAATCAATTTTGTTTGGGCCTTCAATTCCATTCCTGTAATTTCGAAGTCAAAGATGCACTCGCATTGGATGGCCATTTATCGAAAATGTCGAAATAATTATAGATTACAACCGCCATGAAAGTCAATTTTGCTTGTCTAAGAGCTAAGGATTACACAAAAACCCGTTTGGCACCACTTCTATAAGGCTGGATACAAAAAGAAACTCGATATATGGATGCCACAGGACGTTTTTCTGTGGTCCTAATTTCCATCTGCGAATCGCTGCTGAATCGCAAGAAAATTAGCGGCGGAAACAGTGGTCAAGCTAGCACTGGGTTTTAGTGGCAAAGTATAATCTGACGTGAACTGCTTTTCTATGGAAAAACTCTGACCTCGCAAATGTTTGTTCAATAACTGAATCGTCCGATAGAAGAGAAATTGTGTTTAATAGTGACTTGCCAGAAGCTCAGAGGTTTTCATGCATTCATCTTCTAGTCCAGGCTTGGCACCACGCGATTATCATCCCTGTCCATGACGAACGGTTTTACTGTTGCAAAATTCGCTTCAAGGGAAGCTTGTAAAAATCAACTGTCACAGTTATATGTCAGGTGCAAAATTGACCTAAGTCGGATAATTCCAACTTTAATACCAATTAAAGACCTCATTCTGATGCAAAAATAATGAATTTTTTTACTTTACCTTATATTATGATTTTAAATAGGTATACATATATATATATATATATATATATATTTATATATATAGGTATATATATGAATATATATATATATATATATATACTAGCTGACCCGGCAAACGTTGTTTTGCTAAATAAGGTATATTCTAAACCATTTCTAGAGAATCAAAAATATTAATACTTTAAGTGCATAAGGATGTGTTGTTTGAATGCTATAAACCCCATTAGTTTGTCTATATTTTATCAATACAATCAAACTGGAAGTTTTATACACTGTCTATAGAAAACATGGTATAATCCAATCCAAGTCATTTTTGGTCTTTCAACATATTGATTACGTTTCAAGTTTGTCAGATTCTTTTTTGATTCAGGATTTTGTGTATAATTGTAAATAATACTACTGAGCTTATACAAAAATTTCAAATTTCTGCGAGGAGAGATAGAAAATGAATTAGGTATTTCTTCTTTAACTTGCTTTTTGAAAAGTTTCAAGTAACATTCGATGAATTAAAGTAAATTTAATAAAAAGTATAGAGCAGAGCAGGGCGAGGCACAAAGGTCCAATTTGACTTTGAGCATATATAAACTATATTATGAAAAGCAAACCAATCATATCACAAATAACACATTTCAAACGAACAATTATCTGACTACGTTCAGTAAAACTGCCAGCTACATCATCATTGTAGAAATATGCTTTTTTTTGCTGTCTTTCAAAAAATTGTTATCTAGACCTTTTTACCCCACTTACCCTAACTTGGATCGGCCAGGTGGCAAACATGTTGAATGTCTTATTTTAATTTCAAAGGTATTTTACAAAATAATTACACTTTTAACTAATGCTAAAAAACTGCCAACGGAAGAAAATACTTTTATTATGAATTTTCAAAGATTACAGTTTATCTCCCCATAGCAAAGTCTTTTAATCAAGGTTATAGCTGGCTATACATCTTTTTTCCTCTACTTTTAAATATTGTTGTTAAACAATGCTTAACTTTACTGATTTTTGGCACATCGGTGATGGACCTTTTTAATCCCGGACCTTCATATATTACTATCTAATCTGCGATAAATTCCGTGGAATTATAACTGGAAAAATGTTATTCGACAAAATGTCCATTTGATCGATACCAAATTTAGGTTATGAATTTAAATAACACAAATAAAAAATAATATAACCTAAAAATGTTTTATAAATACCAATGAGTATATAATTATACAAATGAGATCTTTCAGAGCACCGTTTTTGAGAAAAATATGCCAAAAAGTGCATTTTCATATTAACATATCAAAAAAGTTTATATTTTGAGTCTCTAGTAACACTTGCGACCCGTTTACTAACGTTTTTGTATATAAATAAAACTACAAACAAAACTACTTACTACAAATTTTTCATAAATAAATAATATTCGCGTAAAACATCCTATTAAACGTAATTGAACATCATCTGTCAAAAGCGTTTGACATTTCACGTAATTGCCACGGTCCATTGTTTTATTTAAATTACGCTTCTACAAAAATTTTCAAATTAAAAATGTAAAGTTTCTACGCGGATTTGAAATAATTTCTCACCTTTTGGACATTCTATGGATTGGCACGAATTTTTCAAGACTAAGACTGGCTAAATCGATTTAGCCGTTTTCGAGTTTTATTCGGACTTTTGAAAGAGAGCTCCATTTTTATATATAAGACTAGCTGACCCGGCAAACGTTGTTTTGCTAAGTAAGGTATATTCTAAACAATTTCTAGAGAATCAAAAATATTAATACTTTAAGTGTATAAGGAGGATGTGTTGTTTGAATGCTATAAACCCCATTAGTTTGTCTATATCTTATCAATACAATCAAACTGGAAGTTTTATACACTTTCTATAGAAAACATGGTATAATCCAATCCAAGTCATTTTTGGTCTTTCGACATATTGATTACGTTTCAAGTTTTTCAGATTCTTTTTTGATTCAGGATTTTGTGTATAATTGTAAATAATACTACTGAGCTTATACAAAATTTTCAAATTTCTGCGAGGAGAGAGAAAATGAATTAGGTATTTCTTCTTTAACCTGCTTTTTGAAAAGTTTCAAGTAACATTCGATGAATTGAAGTATATTTAATAAAAAGTATAAAGTAGAGCAGGGCGAGGCACAAAGGTCCAATTTGATTTTGAGCATATATAAACTATATTATGAAAAGCAAACCAATCATATCACAAATAACCCATTTCAAACGAACAATTATCTGACTACGTTCAGTAAAACTGCCAGTTACTTCATCATTGTAGAAATGTGCTTATTTTTGCTGTCTTTCAAAAAATTGTTATCTAGACCTTTTTACCCCATTTACCCTAACTTGGAACGGCCAGGTGGCAAACAGGTTGAATGTCTTATTTTAATTTTATGGGTATTTTACAAATAATTACACTTTTAACTAATGCTAAAAAAACTGCCAACGGAAGAAAATACTTTTATTATGAATTTTCAAAGATTACAGTTTATCTCCAGATAGCAAAGTCATGAGAATCAAGGTTACAGCTGCTTATACATTTTTTCCCTCTGATTTTCAATTCCTTGTTAAACGATGCTTAACTTTACTGGTTTTTGACACATCGCTGGTGAACCTTTTTAACCCCGACCTTCATATATTACTATCTATTCTTCGATAAATTCTACGAAATTATAACTGGAAAAATGTTGTTCGGCAAAATGTCCCTTTGATCGATACCAAATTTAGGTTTTGAATATAAATAACTTAAATAAAAAATAATATAACCTAGAAAATGTTTTATAAATACTAATAAGTATATAATTATACAAATGAGATCTATCAGAGCACGGTGTTTGAGAAAAATATGCCAAAAAGTGCATTTTCATATTAACATTTCAAAAAGTTGATATTTAGTTTCTAGTAACACTTGCGGCCCGTTTACTAACGTTTTTATATATAAATAAAACTGCAAACCAAACTATTTACTACAATTTATTCATAATTAAATAATATTCACGTAAAACATTCTATTAAATGTAATTGAACATCATCTGTCAAAATCGTATGACATTTCACGTGTTAGCGACCGTCTATTGTTTTATTCAAAGTACGCTTCTATAAAAATTTTCAAATTCAAAATGTAAAGTTTCTACGCAATTTTGAAATAATATCTCACCTTTTGGACCATCTCTGGATTGGCACGAATTTTTCAAGACTAAGACTGGCCAAATCGATTCAGCCGTTTTCGAGTTTTATTCGGACATTTGAAAGAGCGCTCCATTTTTATATATAAGATATAATATATCTTATATATAAAAATGGAGCGCTCTTTCAAGTGTCCGAATAAAACTTGAAAACGGCTGAATCGATATATATATATATATATATATATATATATATATATAAATTATTATGTGCGGCCCGCCACCAAGTTTTGAAATTCGAATTGGCCCGCGGGTTAAAAAGGTTGCTCGCCCTTGCTCTAACGATAACGCATCAACATGTGAATCGCCCTTCAGGATTTTCTGTTGTATTACGACTGAAACTAATATATGCATAAAAAGGCAATCGTGACTATTTGTGTGTGCATGTGTGTGTAGATTTTGCGCAATATTCTTAATTTTTTTTTTTTTTTTTAACAATGCAACAAATCCTTCTTTTCTGACTCTCCAGAAGGTCATAGGCACTGACTAAATTACTTACATTCAATTGTAATTTATTGCATACTTCTTTAGTTTTCGAAAATATCGGCCCCGCGAGTTCTTCCT